AAAAGCGAAACACCGTGTCATCTTGTGGTCCAAAACGTTCAATATAAAGGAGAAACAATTTCGGAAAACGTGTCCCAGGTGTCGAAGGGTGAACGGCAGGATGAATCTCGAGAAGGTGGCAACAATCCGAAAAATCCGTCCATGATAGTTGAAATGATCGCAAATAAATTAGATCGAGTAATATGGGGTGTAGAGATCGATGGAACTGTTATTGAGGACGCTAAGGATGATATGTTAAGCATTTGTCTATTCCTTAATTTTATAATTAATTCCTTTCTCCTAGATTCTCAAAATGAACTGACAAACCCGCAACAAAAACAATTGATGTTCACCCTGTTGCAAAGAAGAAAAGAATTAAAAAAAAAGAACTCAATAAAGGAACAACATTGAACGGGTTTCTATGATCATGTGTGATGTGTCCTTTCGGATTTAAATTCATGTTATTATAGTATTATTTCGCGCGAAAAAATAATTAGTGATTATGAAATATACAGAACATACTATTGTTACAAATAAATGTAATTCCGGACGAAACCTTCATAATTTCGCTTGAAAATCGTTCTTGATAAATTACAGTTAGCCAGTGTGTATGCCAGGGGAGGAGAAAAATACGAATACATTTTATTCGTAAGCTTCTCCTCCCCTGGCATACACACAGGATGTCACGGCGCCAGTTTGTCAAGATGCCAGTTTGTCAAGGTGTCAATATGACAAATGGTCAAAATGCCAGGATGGCTTAATTAAAATTCTTTTATATATACGAGCCGGAAATCCTAAAACAGCTCAATATCCCATGCTCGCCTTTAGCATATTTCTTTGAAAAACATTCCCTTCGTTATCTCCTCGCGATAATTTCGATTTTCGCCCTTTTAATTTTATAATTTCGCATTTTGTAACACAGTTTATTATTTTATTTTTAATTTCCGATTTATTAATAGTTTATTATAAAATTTTTATTTAACAGTTTCGTAATTGCGTAGTTTTAATTAATTAGAATTTATTACTTGGCATTTACTTAGTTTAATATATTGAAAAAGCGAAAGTGTAGAGCGCCGACGTTGAGGCAACACTGATTAATTTGATCATATTAAATAATTTCTTGTCAATATTACTTCATGTTTATTCAATTATTACTCATTAAAACCTTCTGCTTACATTACAAATTATTTATAAATACATAAACGAAAGAACTGAATAAACAATATAAATAACCATCCTGCTGTTACTCATTTCTTTTAATTGCTGTTGTATTGATTATAACTTGATCAGTCGCGATGGGTACGGTCATTGTCATTTTTGAGCAAGAATCAAAAGGAGCAAAAATGAATTTGTCAAAAGTTATGTTTAAATAAGTATACTGTATATATATCCGAATTTATCATGACATAAAAGTATCGCAAATTCTACTTTATTTATTTCAAATTCAAATTAATGATAGCTTATAATATATAATATAAACATTTAATAATTTATTGTATACCCTTTTTTTCTATAACTATATTAATCCGATCCGACATACTATCAGCTAAATTAAAGAAAATATTATGACCGAGATTTTCCCATTTCCTCTTAATTATGCCTTGAAAAGCATTCGAGCTAAGTATTTTTTTTCCCTAATCCAATCATTAACCTTTTCCACAACTTTCCTTTAAGAATTGCCCACAAATTCTCGATTGGTTTAAGTCAGGAGAGTTAGCAGGACAATCAATCACCGAAACATTATTCATCACAAAAAATTTACGGGTAATCTTCGCAGTTATTTTGTTACTGATAAACAATCAGTGAAAATTTGGGCATTTATGTTTGCGTCTAAATATAGCTAAAGAATTGCTATTTTAATTTTTATTTTCATTGGACAGAAATTGGTGCGATGGTTTTATATTAATTATTAAAATCTGGATAATTATGTCGTGAACTGTATTGTGTATATATTAATTTATATTTAGAAATAATAGAATTGGCGTGTCATGTCAATGGAACCACACGATCGGAAAATGGCAAAAAAAAAAAAAAAAAAATAGATTAGTCATTATTAAACATTAGTAATCAATTATAATCATGTTATCGAAAACATAAAACCATTAATTAGTTAGGTCAATAATAAACAATCAATAAAAATGCTTATCATTATTTCTGAACTTAAAAGTAGTAAGAAAAAAAAAATATTTTTTTTTTATTCATAACCAGTCAGTATAAAAGATGTAAGCAATAAATAAATAAATAAATAAATTGGACCTTTATTTGAGGGATTAATCGTTCCGTGAATTTTTTTTTTTTTTTGTCAAAAATCAAGACCAATTGTTATAAGAATGTTGGAAATATCTAAACCTTATTCTGCTTTTCTTCATGCTAACAACCTTTTAAAAATGATATATATAATTTTCTATTAGCGTCCTTTTGAAGGATAACGTCTTTTCATTAAAAAACATGGCATTCAGAAATATCTTGAGTAATTTCTATATAAGTCTCCATGATTAAAAAAATAAATAAATTGATGACTAATATTAAGTTTGAAAAATTGGTTTAAAAAATAAAAAACGCGAAACAAATGAAATTTTTTTTTTATTTGACTCAAAAGTTGGTATTTGTAAAAGAATCAACAAAAAAGGACCGCCCAGCCCTAAAAACTTTTTTTATAACCTTTTAATGGAAACGAAAAAAGTTCTTATTACCTGGTTCTAAGTAAATTTTTTTAAAAATGAGCGTAAGTAAATTTATGTGTGCTTTGCTGTAAATTTCAAGTCTTTAGAGTAATGATGATATTAAACGATCGCCAAATCATGTCAAAAAGAAACATAAATAATAACTACAAGATGACAAGCGAAATAAAAAATAAACACAAATTAATATCTCGCTTTTTTTCTATATTATAATTTAATGCAACTGTTATAAAGTTCTCATTTAATTTTCGAAGTCACGTTCGTTGGGAAGAATTCAATCTTATGTTGTGGTAAGGGTTAATAACCGAAGCCACGTTATACTCGTAAACCTGTTCAACCTTCATAATTTTTCTGAGCGACTCTATAGGTCATTCATTCGCGATAAAAAAATTTCCATAAATTGAACTTGCCGGTTACACCATACCGAAATTTGTCCCACCTAATCATAGATTTATTGTTTTATTTCCATTCTCGTTATTCAAAATGCCATGCAACCATAACCTGCTTCTATAAATATTTGAATTTTTCACATGATCTAAATTTATTACGGGCATCTTGTTTAATATAAATATTTTCAATAATTTCCAAGGTGGACCATAAAGGATCATGAACAACTTGTATAAGTCGAAAAGGGAGGAAAGTAAATAATATAATTATAATTTCGCAAGGTCAACTTTTATTTTATTTTCGTAAAATCATATCATCGCATTAAATGAATTCCAGGATGGACAACTCACAAAGTTAAGATTAAATTTATAAAATTAATTATCTGAACAAAAAAAAAAAAAAAAAAAGATTTCGTTACATTGCCTTCTTGTAAAGAACTTATATGTAGCTTGCTTTGGCCTTTAATTTCGAATCAACAAACACTTTTATGCTTCCGCAGACGATGTCACGTGAAAATAGCGACCGGCATAATTTTTGATTTTATTTTTAGAAGTACGTTATTTATTAACCGAACAAAGGAAATATTTTGTTTACTAATTCATAAATCTACTGCATATTAAATTGTTACAATAAATAAATTGGCAATTTACGAATAAATTGCAATTAAATAATGATATTTAAACAACATAAAAGAAAAAAAATAAAAAAAATAGCTCAAAAAAAAATAATACTGAGTTTCCTAAATTATCAATGAAAATAATACATTTTTATTTAGTCTTTGTCTTTTTCCTGCTGTCGGCGGTTTCAACGACCTACGCCTTAATCCCTAACACTAAAGTCAACACGTATCCCAAATCCACCGATGAATGCACTTTGGTGGAAGGAATTACTTACAACATCGTACATTTGCCGTCAGCTAGAAATCTAGACAGCAATGGCGACAAAGTTGAGATAAGTACACCTGATCATAATTCCAAGGATAACCCGTATCAATATTGGGTATTGCGAAAAGCCAACAGTATCATATATCCGCTTGAGCTTGTATTGTATAATGTCATACATGCGCAATCGGGTTTGAATTTAGACTCGGACGGTAAAAAAATTGGTATCAGTTCTACAAAGCATAACTCTATATCCAACGCATTTCAACATTGGATGATTGTAAAAAATGGTCCAAACGTATATAACATCGCTCATATGACGTCAGGACTTTTGAATATTGATAGCAATGGAAAAAATAGTTTGGAGATTAGCCTCCCCGAACATAACTCCAGGGAAAACCCTTATCAACAATGGAAATTTATACCGAGAAATTTCAAGCTCACCGCAAATATCACGGACTTCACATACCCCACAGATTTAGCAACTAGTCAGGAAAAGTACAAGACGCGAACCAGCCTTTTTACCGGTAATTATGTAATTCAAAATCCAACCAAGGCGGTCGTGGAGCAAACCATCGATAAGACCGAAATAAAATCCAATAATTATACTTTGGAAATAAAAAAGTCACAGTCTTTCACTATTACCGAGGAGGATATCGTAACGGTGAATCTTGGTGCAACTCTTAAAATGTTAAACATAAATACCTCTTACCAAAAGGGAATTACGGAATCTGTGACCAAATCATTTGAGGAAACATACAAAGAATCAATATACGAAGAGGTTTCGTATCGTATTCAACACAAGGTTACGGTACCACCACAGACCTCAATAACGGTTGATGCTACGGTGGATAAGATTAATATGGAAATACCATTCACAGCAAAAATTCGACTCAGCGCTCAAGCGGATAGGATGGATGAGAGTGGGAAAATAGTTCCAATGGTTGACGTCGACACAAATGCTTTTGCATGCTATCTTCAACAAGAAGAATATAATACCACAAATGCAATAGTGGAAGGAAACGCTCTAATTATTAACACGAGTGGTATCTTATCAATAGACGCTTATGGATTAGATTCAAGAATTACAACAAAAGAAATGAAGCAGTAGATAATTTATTTTAATTTAGAGCATGTCAGTTAATGCAAAGTTTATCAAGCTTACATACACTTTAAAAAAAACCACGTTGGAAAATTAAAATTTTAAAATTTCAACGCAGCGACGCAATTACCATTTCGGGAATTGACTGCGCCGGCTTGTGTGGCTTGTGTGGCACAACTCTACGATTCGATAACTTAATAATAAATAATTGACTTCAAATTTTCTTTTTTACATTTTAATAACAACACATTATTTATTTATATTTCAAGCGGAATTATAATATTTATTAGTTATAATTCGTTAAGGTTAGACATTCCATAATTAAATTCCGAATATCCTTCATTTTTCTACATAACGCTTTATGCGATCATCTGAAGTTGTACAAATATCAACATAATTAATTTCTCTCATTTCAAAAAAAAAAAAAAAATTAATTAAAATAAAATATTTTATTTCACATTGTAAAAAAATTCTTTTCAATAAAGATTTCTTTAACAAATAAAATTATGATAATAATTATAAATTAAATTATTATATTGCAAACAGATGATTATGTCTGTTATTCCATTTCCTTTCTTCTTGATATAGAATTTCATTCAATTTTTGATAAAATCAAGCAAGTGACTCGTATGATATGCCTGTGGTGAGATGATAATTATTATATATACATAGTTTGAATCACGCCAATCGAAAATTATATGATAGATCTCTTTTTGGGATTATGTAAGCCCGTGGAATATTTCCAAACTTCCACCCCAAAGATGATAATTTTCAAAATTTTGGCCTGATTTATCATTGTAATGCTGGCTGACATTAAGTTTGGCCAGAATTTGAGAATCGTAATGTTGGTGATCTTGCATAATTCTGGCCAAATCACAGAATTTCACAGAATTGACTTTTATCATACGCAGAATTCATCCTTAATCACCATATAAAATCATCATCCCTGCTTCAAGGTCCTAAAATTATTGAAATCAATATAGTGATTTGATTGGAATGATTTTTTAAGGGCAAGTCACTAATATGAATTCATAGCTGTAATATAAAATATTACACGTTTTAATTGATGTATTGATAATAATAATACAAACATTCTCAGTTATATTACCTTAATCTGCATATTCCATTTTACCATATATAATTTAATAAAATAGTAACAAAACTTTGATTCATTCATGTTATGTTCAACTATGAATTTTAATAAAAACTAAATAAAAATTTGTTTTAAGCTGAAATAATAAATATTATTTTAATATTGTATCTCATTTACAAATCCTTCACTTATATTTAAAGAATTATGAATTTGTTGATAAATTTATTTTCACTTAGTTTAAATAAGAAAGTTTTATTAAAATCGTATTATTTTCTACATTAATAGTATCCATTATACTGATATATAGATTGTTATAATCTGGTTATTTACTATTTAATAAAGATAAATATAACTTATTTACTTATTGTATATAAAGTCATATAAAGCCATATACAATCACGTTATTAAATAGATTTTTGGTAAGAATTATAGCATTAAATACTAATCATAAGATATAATATGTAACAAAGAAAATATCACATACTGAAAAATTCTAAATTTCTAGAAAGCTTAATAATAATGAAATGATATAATATGACAAATATTTTGTTAAGTCATGTGATCAAATATAGATATCCTCTGAATTAAATTTTTTTGAATGGACTTAATCTGGATTTCAGATCAGATAAAACAGGTCAATCTGATTTGATTTAAAACTCTATCTATTACATAAATTTATCAATTATTAATATCATATAAAAATATATTAATAAATATACTATTTCTCTTATTTGTTCTTTTATTTCTTTCTTTCATTTGTATATTTATCTTAGTTTATTATTTAATACAAGTTTATAATTTTAATAATAATAATAAATATAAATATAATAAAGTAATATTCATTATCATGTAAATATATAATAAAGAGATTTATTAGTATTGATATTATTATATTTAAGAAACAAATTAAATTTTAATATAATCATCCTATTTATTATTTAAATATATAATTTGGTTATATAATGATATCTTATAAAATCAATCCTGCTATATTACAAGAATTAATAAAAAAAGATCATTAATAATTTTAACTTCTTTAATTTATTTAATATTTCTATTTATATTTTTATTATTTATTTTATATTTATTATATTATTAACGTGTAATTCTCATAAACTACGACTGTTAGACGGGGTATTAAGTAGTTTATTCTTTTTAACTGGGCAGTAATCTTTCAACAATTTACAGTTTTACTTCAGACTAATTATCAAAAGTGGTTATACTATTACAATAAGTAGAGATTCAACAGATTGTCAATAAGCTATATTTGTAAAATAATGGATTTATTCATGAGTAAAATAATAAAAATAAAAAAAATAAAAGAAAATAAAGAGAATAAAATAAGAAAAGAAAAGAGACGAGATACTAAAACTAGAATGTAACACAATAGGCTAATTGCTTCTAAAACTACTGAAAGTTAACTTGTTAAGTTTCTGTCTGTCTTTTTACATAATCTAAAAAGCTATCTATTTATATAAAATAAATTACATAGAAAGATATAACTAACATGCCTACTATATCAACTATGTCTAATATGTCAGTTATGTCTAATATATTAACTATATTTAATATGTCAGTTATGTCACATATGTCTGACATATCATATATATCATTTATGTCAAATTAGTCGATCTTCTATGTTACATAAGCTGCATCACATTTACCTGTTCACAGTATAGTCAGGAAATATACCAAAAAAGGAAACGGGTTCTAGAATATTCTATTGCAGATTCTTGAAATTTGATTGGCTCATTTATTCATTTTATACTTGTATTTTGAAAAAAAATTTTAAAATATTTGTTCAATATAAAACTTTTCAAACAAATAGAACAAGACGTCTAGTTTTCATAATTATAAATAATCCCATATAGTTAAGTCTATTCCGTTAAAGTAAATGAGAGCTTAAACTGAGTATTTACTTTATATATTATTAAATAGCATAAATAAAAGAACAAAATTTTATTCAACTAATTTAAATAATTTTTTTTGTAGTATTTACTTATCTAAAACCCAAAGCAAGAAATCTTTAATGCATTTTTACAGATCTAGCTGAAAAATATGAAATTGGATTAAAATCTTGTAAAATTAAAGAATCACAAAAATAGAGATATACTGATAATAAAAATACAGCTAAGAAGCTTTTACAATATTATACTTACCTTTCTAAACTTGCTAACTGTTATTTTTCTTTGAATATCTATTCAATTTGTGAAAGGCACTATAATCAAACCATTACTACTAATCAGTTTTATCAGCATCTTATAGGTTCCGTTTAAGAAAATAAAAGGCTTCAGCTTGAGAATAATAATATCAATTCAATTGCTGATTTTGATGAAGCCAAAAGACTTTAAAATCTATGCAAATAAAAAGTTAGCAGAAATCACAGTCAATAGCAAACCTTAATAATCAAGTTACATAAATGCAAAATTATATAGAAGATCAAAAAAATAAAATAGCAGAGTTGAAGAAACAATTATAGCGGGCCTATAATAATATGAGTAAAATGCAAAACTTATATGATGAACAATATAAAAATAATGAAGTTTTTATTAAACAATGAAATTTAAGATTTGCTGACCAGCAAAAATGTGTTAATGCGATTATTGAGAAGCAAATGCAGAATATGTATCATTATTTAATGATTTAGAATTAATAATTCAAGATAGTAATAGATTTTTTATGAAAAATCTTGTGATATATAGTTCTCGTAAATGGCTCAATAGATGTAATAAAGTTGTTATAGCATTATTGAAACTTTGGTTCAAAATGTTTAAAGTACTGATACTTTAAGTTAAGAAAAACTTTTAAAATTACTATTACAGTTGATTCGATATATGGTGCATGACATAGAAAATATGTTTTAGAAATCCAACTTACCCTTTCAGCTATTAAGTATTCAATCATACGATCAAAGATAGTTATCAATATTAACAATCATATTACAAGTTCAGAAAGTTACTTTTAATTTCAAACATAGTTGGAAAAATTATTAAAGTAAGAAGAATTATTACCTGAAGGATTTTATTTCTTGTATTTGATAATGAACAAAGAGGGCAAAAAAATTATCTTGACCAAGACTATAATATAGTAATTTACCATATCATTACCAGCTTTATCACTTTTAATATGTCATCACAAAACAAAATTTAATATACTGATTCACCTTGGACATATCACTCCTTTAATAAGTTCAGCTTAAAGAACTTTTTAATGTTAACTCTCAAATGCAAGAAGCTATCAATAAAGAATTATATAATTATCTTACTAATATTCTTAATTTATTATCTAAAGAAAAATTATTCTCTATTAATGCAATTGATTTTCTTATAACATCTATAGAAACTAATATTACCAATATGAAAGAATGTCCTAATTGTTATCAATAAAATATTGAGAATTGAAAGAAAAAATGCCCAATATGCAAGACACAATTGCCAACATTGACTGATATACAAAAAGAAAAAGTAGCTGAAATAATAACTAACAAAACTAACGATACCCTTGTTTTCAAACCATATAGTTTTAACGATAAATTAAACATTACACATATTCTTAGGATTAGCATTACTCAACAACGAACTACTGATCAAAGAGTTAACACTCCCTGATATTTATATTTCTGATCTGATTAATATTAACTCTAACTCTATTTCAAATATTGAAAAAATTCTTTTGCATATAGAAAAAATAACAGGTATTAGAGATAGAATTCGTAAGTGGATGGCGATGGTCTGTAATGGTGTCTTATATTATTATATTACAAAATTGAAAGATAAGTTTCTTGGCTAGTACTTATACCAGGACCACTACATGAAAAAATGAATATACTTCAATCATTTGTGAAATTAAACTGGTAAGATTAATTGAAATTTTATTTATTTTTCTGTTTTTTAGATTTTTACTTACTTAATAACTT